GCTCTGGATATGGGCAGCAGAAAACTAAACCAGATTGTGCCACAAAGCGGAGAGACAGAACTAGCACTGTGCGTCCACCAATCAAACGAACACATAATCACTTGAGGATTGAAGCATGGTGTGCATTTAGAATTACAATAATGCTGATACAATAAATTGTCTGTCACTTTTACAGTAGTTACTGTGCAGACTAGATATAGACTTCATTTTCAACATTAAGGAACTGAATCTGATCATATCCTGCTGTGCTGGATGAAAGATGATGAAAAGTTTGTTTTCTATGATTATTTGTTGACAAGAACAAGCCACCTTTTACCCCTGTCTTGGGTAAAATACATAGTTGGGGCTTCTGCAGTTTCTGAGCTCAAGGTAGATTTTGTGTGTGAGTTTTCTGAAACTCAGAAAAACTTCCATTTTTCAGCAGTATTCTTGAAAAAATGCTATGAGCCATGGAACAGTTATATTCCATCAATGATATCAAAATATCACCACTGTTGCATACAGGAATATTACTTGCCTCCTTGTTTAGTCAGCATTCATCAGAAACATTTATGTATCAGGACTCTATAAAACATTTGGCTTCATACAACAAATATTTTTTAATTGGTCATTCCCCATCATGATTGTTCATCTTTTTGGAGTTCCCCACCTGCCAGAATCTGGCCCTGTGCTGTTCAATGTGACCCATATTCTTCTGGTGCTAAATGCACTTACCTGTTTTCATCATGCAACCAAAAAGAAAACAGGACAGGAAAAAAAAGGTGCACTGTATAATTTATGACCTAAAATCTTACTGTGTTCCCAAATGTTGCTAATAATGCAGGGAATAGATGCGCTCTACATCTCATTTGTGATCATATTTGTTATATTTGCTTTAAAAATATGACAGTAGATACAAGATTTCCTTTCTTCCTAATATTACAAGTCTAATACCTGTAAAGCAGTGACCCATAAATTTAAAAAAAAAAAAGTCCAGACTGCTTTACTAAGAGGAAAAGCTAGTCTAATCTTTCATCCAAATTCCGCATGTCCAAAAACATTCTTCAAAGTGGAGCCACTGGGTGTAAACTATGATGCAGAAATTCTATGCATCTGTTTGCAAAATAGTCTTTCTTTAGCACAGGTTTTACTGAATATATAACAAAAGCTTAGCAGTGCTCCTCCAGCAGCACACTCCTGAGGCTGCTGTGGACAGGTTGGTTCAAACATTCAGCGCGTGGGGTAGTCTCTGGACCGGATCTTTGCCTCAGGGAAGCCCCTGCACCTCTGTAAGAAAACGTTGGGGGCCTGGAAGCATGTCTCCTCCTGCGTGGCCAAGTGTTTAAAGTGGCAGGCTACCACTGCCACCTCCACGTAACCCAAACATGGGTGTTAAAGCTAGTGTCTTTTTCCTGTCAGCTTATTTACCTGATGACTCTCTTTTCAGCTGTGTCAGGTAATCCAATCTCCTAACACTGGCTCTTTGCTTAGTTACTGCTAGAGTTATTTATAGCAAATGTAACCCACGGATACTTGTTTGGGGGAGGACAATCATTTTGTCCGTGGCAAAAGGTATAAATGCCGTTTGGCATTCTTCCACAACAATGGATGCCCCAATAGTCTCAATCCATCAATATATTTTTATACTTTGCCTATTGTATTTCCATTGGATGGAATATCTTAGTTTAGCTTCATGACCATATTATTACATATTCAATTCAACTTCATACTAAGTGTAAAGTAACAGGTGCACTTCATTACACAAGTCAAGAAACCAAGTAAATTAAATATTACTGGCTTGGGTAACTTTCAAAGGGTATGTACTGGTTTTGAAAAATACTCACTGAAGTATTAGCGTGACTAATCGAATAGCTTCCACAGCGACATCATATTCCTTATCAAGTGTCATTGATACAATGCGATCCTGAAAAGGAATTTTATTAGTGACAAAACAGAAACACGCAAACAGCTATCAGATGAAGAATTCTATAGATTACAGAGTAAATACTCTTTGGGAGAAAGATATTTCAACTTTAATATTATTAAAGCCCTTTTAATTAATACTTTAAAGCCCTTTAGTATTATTCAGCCATTTAATGTACATCTTAGGAAGCTGTGTGCTATATGCACAATGGAACAATAGGTAAGTACACAGGAATGAGAACAAGTGATTAACAAAGTCCTTATCCTTGTGTGTTTTCCAGGAAACAAGCAAGCAGACTTTGGAGTCAAAGCACCGTTCTGCACTGGTCTTATTTAACAGTTCTTTCCTGAAAAGCAATGTACTTGGGTTGGATGACAGCAGAAAAATTGCCCAGCTTCATCCCCCTGAAAACAAGTAATTTTAAAGCAATGAATGCTGCATATATGCAGATTTGGAAATACTGTGAAGAAAAACACACCTGAATACCTGCATCTGCATATTGACTATAAAATTGTGGCCTGTATACCTGGCTACATCTTAAGGTTGAAGCTGATCTCAAGAATTACACTACAGACCTTCCACAGGAAAGCGGGAAATTCTGTGGTTTGGCTTTGTATTTTTCTATACTCTTTCTAGTGGAGACAAGCACACCACTTTCCAATCTAATGCAATGATTTTATAACTTCTAAGGACCCTGTAGTTATAAGAAGGCTCCTAAGGGTTTCTTTCTCCTTAGTTTCAGTTTGCTTACTGGCAACCAAAAATAGATGTGATTAATGTATGTTGTCCTCCCCATCTGGGGAGAATTTCTATCCATCCATAAAAACGCAGTATGTCTTGATGTTCTTTGCTTGACTGATCAAGTTAATGAAAAGAAATTGGGCCATCTGAAAATAAAACTTGATTTCTCTGGCTTGACCTGCTTCAGGAAGGACTAGGTACTATATAACATTTTGGGATGTGAAAAAATAGAGGTCAGGGACCGGAAATGAAACAAGGGAAGTGTTAAGAAACAACAGAGAAAGTCATCAATGACAAATCAGGACAAAATAAAGATATTCACCTCTTTTCTCTACTATTCCAGGCATGTAAAGGCTGAAGGTGACTATCAAGCAACTGATGCTTATTTCAATATTGAAATTTAGAAATAGCATGCAAAGAATGCATTGTGGCTGTCTCAAGTGTTACTTCTTCATAAAAACAGGTCTGTAGAGATACTTTGTGTCACTACGACTGAATGCACCTCTGCCAATCACCATTAGATGCATTTAGCTGTTATATCTAGACAGTTTTAGAGAGTGGGAGAAGTCCATGAGGAGACTCAAACAGTGAAATAACTTTGCAAACCGGAAATTCTGCATATGGACAAGACAAAAAAATTGCTGTGAATTTTTGCTATGGTCCTGGCCAAGGAACAACAACTAACAACAACATCAAGAGAAAGAACAGCCAGAGATACTGATCTTACAAATTTCAGTGGAATTTCACATGCCTGTATTTATAACTTGAAATAATTAATTTTCACTATGAAGATCAGTTTGCAATTATGTATTAGGCTGTGAGCAAGGCTGGCTGAAGAGCAAAGCTATCTCCTTTTGCCTCTCAGGCTGTGGAGACAACAGTCTCCTGCAAAGGGTCGGGGATGAGGGACACGAATTAAACAGCTGCATCTAAATCTGCTGGTGTCTTGACTTTGGCACTGCCTGCAAAAGAGCTAATTCACATCTTTTCCATATGGCTTCAGTTAATGTTTGTATCAGACCGGACATCTTGATGGAAAACAAAAGGCTCCTCTTCAATGGACAATTTTTTTTTTTTTATGGACAAAGCTTATTTTCTAGCCTATCACCAACCCCTAGAAACACAAACAAATGCTAGAAAGAACACACAGGTTTCCTTTGGAGAAGTGACATTATCAGATCCTTGTCACTGCTATCTGGAAGGTGGTGAAATGTTAACACCACAGTACAAGTAATTCTGGAACAAATTAATTTATACTTTAAACAGCTAAAAGATCTCTAGAGAGATTTCTCTTGACAGTTTGAATGGATTGAGCTGAATACCAGCTGAATTGTGCAGGTCGATTAAGGTCTGATGAGGAAATATAAATAAGCAGTCACAGAACTGAAAATGGCATTTAGGTCAATTATTTTTTCAGGGGGTGGTGGTAGTTTGTGGTGGCAAGACATTTAAGTAATGTATCACACATTCAAAAGGCATTAATTTGAAACTTTGCTCCATCCTGGTGCCAAAGGCTGCATCCCTGTCAGCAGAGCTGTAAATCCCAGAGCAGGCGCTTGGGCAATGCCAGATTTTTGTCCTCTTAATGTGGCTGGAAATGAAACTGGTAAATCATCATGTTAAACATAAGCTGTTCTCTAGGCTGAGAGAGGCTTTGAACTCACCTTTTCTCTAATTTATTTCATACTGATACAGATTTCTCTAGTAAAAACAGCTGTAATGGAACAGAGGACAGACAAGGACTCCTAACAGGGTTCCCTTTCCTATGAGACTTTATGACAGAAAGGAAAATTCCTTGTGCCATTCTAAAACAAGAAGCAATGCACAAGCTAACCTGACTTCTTCTAACAAAGAAAATTGTTTATGCTGTGAAAAAAGCCAGGGGGAAGTGTTTAGAGGTTTCATGTTCCTGTAGTTTTTAAAGTACATTACTGAGTAACTATTTCTCAAAGTGCCTCCTATTGTCTTGAGAAGTTTTGCTGGTGGTTCAGACTCAAAGCAGCATTTTCTCTTAAAATTATAGGCAGCTAAGAGAGAAGCAGCCAGGACATTTTCTAGTAAAGAGAATCAGATATAAAGACCATGAGATTTTTAGTGGTCTATTTCAAAATAAATCAAATTACAGAAGGGGCAAATATAAACAAATCTGTAAGCCTGCACACGTGGAGGAAGAAAAGCAGCAGAGTTGGAGGGCTCATTTTTCTGGAGAGTAGACTACTATTTCTGGTTGTCCTGAGATGATAAGCAAACCAGAGGCATTACAGAAGTAGTCTGAGATCTGAACCTGTTTGCCAGGTACTCTTTCACAAGAGCTAATTTGTCTTTACTGCAACAGTCCCAGAAACTGACTTTATAAAATGAGAATACAGGCCCTGAAGTGATCTCACAAAACGATCTAGTTTTATCTCCTAAAGTCAACTATACCTACTTCATTCCTGACAGATACTTATTTCATCTGCCCTTAAAAATCTGAAATGAAGGAGATCATTAACAAAGAGTTTGTTCTATTATATAATTTTCGACAAAAAGTCTTCCTTAATATCTAGACTTTACTGCAGTTCAACCACCTTTTTTCTCCATCTCAAGTAAATGCGGTAAAAGGCTGATTACTATTATGTTTTTATGAATCATTTACGTACAGGGCAGATAGGAAAAGTTTTCTATATTTTGTGCTTTCCTAGATCAAACTGGAGGAGTTAATAGTAACTGCAGTGACAGACAAAACCAGTGAAGCAGTATAAAAATCTACAGTGAGAAGTTTCATGCACAGTAGTTATTTATGAGTATTTAAATCTCCACTTCTTTTCTAAGCAGAATTTCTCATCAGTATTATAAACATGATTTATTTCACTTGTGAAATAAAGCAGTCATGCCACAAAGTGAATTAACAGCCATGTTCTCATCAAGATATTAAGCAAAAAGTCAGCGTGTTTGTGCTAGTAAAAAACCCATGAAATGTTCCTCCAGTATTTATCTCCTGAACAGGACAATCATGCTCAGGGGTTTGTCTAAAAGCACAATGTTCTGCAGCAAGGTATTTCACTGTGTAGAATATTGTGGTGCAGATCAAAGTATCTCCTCCTCCAAACACAAGCACATATTCAGCTAAAAAGCTGTCTTAAGAACAATCTTACAGGCTCTTACTTTCAGATGTATTTTAGATTGTGTGACACACTCAGTACACGTCCTTAAAATTCAATAAATCTAAAATTAAGTAAGTACAAGCAGATTGAATGATGACAATATATAAACTATCAATAATGCAAACAGATAAATAATCATCCTGGCCAAGCCTGACAAATCTTACAAGATAAACGCTGTAAAATGAATTTGGCTTAATCTCAGCATTCAGTAATAGAGTTTTACTACTGCAGTTACAAGTCTTGTCACAAACAAATGAGTTTATTTTTGCATTTAATATACATGACTCAAAGACCACAACAGGATGAGACAGATGAGACTTTTATTTTCTGTACTCCTTCCAAAAACTGTATTTCCTCTTACCTTGAATCTATTAGTGAACAGCTCCAGTTTTGGAAATAACTCTCTGTTGGTATACAGACTCTGAAGAGCTTTCAAACACTTCAACCTCACTTCACCTTGCTAAATAAAACACACTAAGATTAGCTGATAGAATACGCTAATCAAATGCACATGAATATTAAATATCATATTGTAATTTCTTTAATGCACATTTAAAATTTTATGCAAATGAGTTACCAAAGCCAATTTGCAATTCAGCTAAAAACCAAAAACCACATGCAGCTGCCTACAAACAATATTAAATTTTCTATTTGCATATATAAAGAATTTAATATCCCATCAGTTAAATGTCTGTTACTGTTTCCTTTTCAAGTAACTCCACAAAAAGATAAAGAATGCAGCAAGTACAAAATAAAGACATATGATCTCAAGTCGTATTGACATTAACAAAAATAGCACTTGTGATGGATGGGAGGGGCTACAGTTTTGAGACTTTGTTTTCTGTCATAAAAGATACCGATTTCTCTAATCTAGGGAATCCAGACTTGCCAGTTACTTCTCCAAGTATTAACATGCTGCCTTAATGTCAATACAAAAATCTTGGTGAAGACAATGCGGCTATTTATTTTTAAGAAAGAGACTACAGGTAACTTCTGCCTGATATCTGATGTTCACAATCAATGCACAAGTGTTCAAGATGACCGAGCATGGCCTGCGTGTAGCCCACTCAAGAAACTCAGCCATCTCTGAGCATTGCCTTTCCTTTTCCCAGGAACAGAAGGAATACACGCTGGATTTAGTATTCTGAAATTTTCTCCATCCCATCTCTCATCATAGGACAGGCACAGGCTGATGGATGCCAAAGGCCCAAGAGACCCTCCAGTGGGGAGCAGGCTGCTGCCACAAGAACAAGGCACCTAAGTCACAGCCTGAGGAGCCCGTGGGAAGAGGAGCAGCTTGTGCCTGTCTGTCCGAGTTGTTCTGGTGGCAGCAGCTCATTCCCAGCTTTTAGATAGGGATTGCTTTGATCTGCTGGGCTGCGGGCAGGAAACATGGGTGTCACGAGATGGTGCCTATGGATTGAGGTTTGTTGCCTATAGGAATATCGATGATAAAGAGAAGGGCTGGATCCCGTGTGCATGCACATCATCTGGCTGGCTGCAAATGTACACCTCGGCTCAATGCATAGTCTTGGCAAACTATGGATTCTTGTTGATAAATATTTGTAGATAACAAAAAGGTTATAAACACAAATCTGCTCAAATACAATCTGCAGAGTTCACTGCAGTGTGAACTTCCTTTTATGACAGTGAGTACACCACCAAGTCTAAGGCTTTAAGCTGCTCAAGAACTAATACCAATTATTAAACTTTATAAATAAAACTCCATACCCAGAGGGCTTAATTTCTGAGCCTGTCTATTCTATAATCACATCTGTATTTAAAAAAACTGCTCAAGCTAAAAACTGAAAGAACATTCAGACTGACATAAAAAATGAAAAGCTAAAAATCCTTATTTTTAAGTTTCTTTCCTCCTTCCCACCTATTTCAAAAATTGAAATACAAGATGAAAGAAGGACAGAAGAGGAAAGGAGGATTTTCAGAAGAACTGCTTGTCATTCCTCCTTTAATGGTACCTGTGTTACAGTACCAGAAATGCTGTTTCCTCTGCTGTGTGGCATTCAGAATGGCCAGGATCTCTGGAGACATTACGCATCATCAGAAGAGGACGTAAGCCTCTGACAGCCTTAGCTTATTTACCCACAGAGTATCAGTATCAGTTTTGGCACATGATGCAAACTACGGAGCAACAGTGAGGCAGCAGGTTTAGTTACAACCCCACTGAAGACTATCCTGCCTGTGAGCAGATGACTTGTTATTCCGCCAGTGCTGTAGTCCCAAAATGCAAAACTCTAAATTGGTTAGGTACAGCAAAAGAACTCAATGCCAACTGCAACAGGACTTGAGACCTGTGCAGGTAACGTCTGGACTCCCTTGGAGTCCAAAGCCCTTGTGGAGTTCACTGAGCACCCTGGATCAATGCTCCCAGAGTTAAGTTCAGGCCTGGCACTGACAGTCTCTATACATCTTAAGTGAGCAAATCAAGCAAGGCAGGTAGGAAGCCCACCTGTGAACATCTGGTACCTGCATGGCCTGCCAGGAGGCTGAAGCCAGATGCTAACAAAAGCGTACTGAACCAGGCTACTATCCTCCTGCCGCCCAACAGATCCGAGGCAGAAGACAAGTGACTGCATGAGCAGGTGAGGAAGAGAGAAAGGTTGTGGTCCCTCTGGCTGAGAGCAAAGGCTCAGGAGACACAGAGACAATCCCTGGAAATGACTGCCTTTCTTGGCAGACAAATGATTGGAGGACAACTTTCTCTGACAGCAAAAAAGGCTGGTTTTTAAACTGTTGGTCAAGGATGGAATTCATCTCTCTGGAGACAGAGGAGCCCCTGCACATCAGCCTGTTAATCCTGTTAAGAAGGTTTTAAAATAGTCAGCGGAGATTAGTGACAGGAACCCACAGGGAAGTATAAACAGCAGCGACCTGGAAAGAACCTAAGAAAGGGAGAAGTGAAGGTGTGCCTTGATACACTGCACTGAAGTCCAGAATGGAGGAGTGGAAATGTCCCACAGACCACCAACATGCCAGACACGAGATGTTTCTTGAGTAACTATGTGAGTCATGCAAGTAACGTGAGCTTTGAACACCCCAAACACTTCTTGGGGAAAGAAACACAGCAGAAATGTCCTATCTAGCGAGGAAGTAAGCGAGTAGGAATGCTCAAGTTAGGGTAACTCCTAAAGAACTTATGCCAGGGTAAAAGCTGCAAACGCTGTGATGCAGAGCAAGGACAGGAAGAGATTTACTTAACTAAGAGAGGAACTTATTTAACTAATGAATTAATTAGGAGGTCAAACACAAGAGGAATACAAAAACCAAAAGGAAGATAAAATTAAAAAAGGCCTGGGCACAGTATGGAATGGGCACAAGAGGTAAAGAAAAAAAACTGGCAGTAAATATATTCGTAGCACAACAAAAATAGTTTTCTTTGAAGAAAGAGAAAAAAAAGTAATTATCATTTTTTATGTGCACAGTGGGTAGGAAAAGAAATAATAAATTAAAATTACAACACAAACTTATGTGAGGAAGAACTTTTTAGTGGCAAACATAGTTAAGCACTCAAACTGCTACAGAAAGCTGTGGAAAAACCAACACTAGAGGGTTTTTTAGAAAATATGACTGTCTCTGAGAAACACTGCAGATATACAGTGAACTCTGCTTTCAACAGGAAAGGAATAAGCAAAAATATTTCCCAGGCTATATTTTAGCCAGAGTTTTTGCAATTCTGAGCTGAAGTTCATAGTGAGTATGAGTCAACCTAAGGCAGCAAATATCTGCGACCATGCAATAGCTTTAAATCTGTTACAGGAAACGAGCATCGCTTCCCAGCTATTTTTGTGTAGTTACATGTATGCTTTACAGTTTACAGACAGAAAGAACGTATCTGGAAGTAAAACCTTGCCATTTTCTAAGTAAATAATGGACAACATATTTGCTTTATCAGCATTCTAACAACTGAGACCTTTCATTCTCCTGAGTTTCATCTTCCAGAGAAATATATTTTAGAACTTAGGGTTCTGTCCAATTTAAAATTGTGACACTTGATTATTGCAGAATCCTGAATTCATCCATACTGTCATCAGTTCTATGCATGCCTCTTTCTCCAGTCTAATTATTCCTGTAATTCCCCTTCTCTCAAAGCATTTTAAGATAATTGTTTCTATATTTGTATTATATAAAATTCCTTTTCATGAATATGAGAAATGCTTTGCATTAATACTTAATTGTTAATACTTTTATTTACATTTTGAAATTAGAACTGAAAACAAAAACATCAAATGTTTATCAACACTGTTACATGACAGACATTTGTCATATTCTCCAGACACTTCTGAGTTTTGAGCAAAAATTTGTTACCGCTGCTAATGAAGCAGAAAAAATATACACCCTTCATATGCCAGCAGTGTGGGGTAGTCTACGTTTGTCTGGGAGAGTCATGCTCTACTCAAAATTCTCTTTAATATGGCAGACCTGTGAAAAAGAATCCACCCTGATGGACTCAAACCAGCAATCTGTAACTCTTGTGTAAGTCTCACAGTGATCTGCAGCCTGGCATCGAGCCAACGTAGATTCTTATTAATGTTCCATACAGTTAATACTTGTGAGTACTAGTTTGCGACCTCTCAACGAGAACCAGACTTCTCTTAACGTTCAGGGATAGCACAGCTCCAGAAATGGTAATTTAAGTGGCACTGCTATGTGTCAGCTCACACACCAGACGAAGGCTTAGATCACACAGAGATGATGAGTCTTTGAGGCCGCAGAAACAGCGTTTTACATATTTTTTTAAGAAGGTGGGTGACCAATAGAGCCAGCAAAGCCATTTCTCTCTTCACACTTCATGTTTCTTCTTTTGGATTTTTCCAATTCTTTTTTGGTGGCTAAGGGTATTCTGCCTTTTTTTTTTTTTTTTTTTTTTAAATTTATCAGATTTTAATAGTAGATAATTAATTTACTCAGCTTTTTGCCCTACCATATTTCTGCAGACTGCACTGTTTGGTGTTTTTTCTCTTGTGTAGAAAAACGACCTAAATTACTGGGTATCTTCAATCTCACAGTTTATGGGATGACCGTGATATACTGTGTTACATTTTGATGCTCCAGGGTGGTGTGTTTTGAAGTAATCTGCTGCCTAATGACAGAAATAATTGTACTGCCAGAGAGAAACAGATGAAAATGTCCTGCAGCACGTTAGTACCTATGGCAGGAGTACTCCTGGCAGGAGCAAGCAGTTGTGCTCTCTCTGCACAGGCCCACTCAATACCATTTATGAAGATACTGTGTATCATCTGAGATTTTTTTTTTTTTTAAATTTTCTCAAGCTTTCAAAAAAACAAGGAAATTATATAAACATTCAGAAGTTCAGAAAAACTATAATTTCAGTTTCTATATAATCTTAACAAAAACAAATTGTATTTTTTCATCCTTTTAAGTTAGGATGCCATCACGATGAAGTATTCAAACACCATCTGTTCCAGAGGACCTGGGTTCACACCTTGCACAGAAACAGACAATAAGTAGAGGCATGCAAAGAAGGAAAAGGCATTTTCTTATGTGTTAGGAACTGGTTTAAGAACCATGTTTGTCTAGGTATCTAGACACAATTAAGGTTTCAAAACAGTTGCATGCATCAATGAGGCAGGCGAAAATTAAGACTGGACAGTCTGATTTCACACTTTTTTTTTAAGAGGTTTTTTTTAATGCAATTAAATTTAGTTTATAAATTGTGTAGTCACATGTAGGCTTTACAGACAGAAAGAATGTATCTGAAAGGAAAAGCTTGCCATTTTCTAAGTAAATGCAAATGCAATTATAGTTTTAGATATTTTTAATTTATGCTCCCAGATCCACGGGAATGAGAAAGATGCTTAAAAGGAGAGAAAGGCAGAACTAGAAACCCACATTCAAATGAGAAAGTAATCTATAGAAAAAACCAAAAAGCCCTATAGACATTCATCTGAAATCTGGGAAAGAGGCAGGATTAACATACAATATATACAGATTTCCTGAAGCAGAGAACTAAACTTCTGCATCCTACCTCTGAAAGACTACACTGGAGCTACTACAAAGAAGTGTAAGAACTGTGGCTTCCCTGTGGTTTACTTTGTTTGTCTTCTGAAGTAGAATATGAAACTGCTCATGAATCTCTTGTACTGCTGCCGCCTCTCTTTTTTGTAGTAGCAAGCTTCCAGAGAAGTTAACCATTTTGGGGTGACTTCTGTTCATATGAAATGGAAATACCTTATGACTATTGCCTCAGCCTTCATTTTTTCAATATTTTAAGTACTGATCATAGCAAAAATTATCTCCTGATCAAAGCAAAGCAAAATCAAGAAACCTGGGTACTGGCTGGCAAGTTTTTCAGGTAGTGCCAATGAAAACCACGCTGTTATGGGATCTTGTACTTTTGGAGTGTTTGCATTTTTAATTGGCTCTTATTCCATCTTTATTCTTCCCATTGTACTTCCTTCCTCCTTTCTGTGCCTCCCCAAATGTGTCTTTCTCTCCATTCTCTCCCTTTTCATCCTTTGACACATTGCTCACCCGCCTCTTCCTCTATTCTTACAATCTCTCTCACTCTATACATTAAACATACGCTACATCAATAAAAAATACCACATATCATGTATATCAGGATATTAAACAGATTAGCTAATGATTTAAAGACTAAGAACCCCAAGGCACTTCTGAGGCCGGCAACGATAAATATTACAAAGCAAGCGGAGACAGGAGAGTAGCCTGATAGAATTCTTCTGTATCTGGTCCAGATGGAAAACCATTTTTTTTTACCATAAAACTGTAATTTAAAATTTGTCTGATATGAAAGAACATATTAATTTTTAAAAAGCTGAGGTAAAAATGTATGTTAAGGCTGCAGGCAGATGACTAGACTCTGGCCTGAGGTTAAGGTAACTGAAGAGGATGTGAGAAAATATTGGACATGACATGAGAAATTGCTGGATGTGACAGATAATGGTGTGAGAAGCTGACACCAGTCACAGACAGTGCCGTGAGGAATGGCTGCATTTCACAGATGGTTAAAGGGAGTTATGTGAGAAATGGCTGGACTTCACAGATATTAGAAGGGGACTGAAAGCTGCGAAGTGCAATGCTATGAGATTCGGCTCTCTGGTTGGAAGTGCTACTTTGTGGAAATGTTCTGCTAGGATTAGAATGTGCTCCAAAAAATCCACTGCAATTATTCAAGGGATAATTTATTTTTAATTAAGAGCCCTCCAATACACCTAAAATCCTAATCCTCCCACCCTCAGTTGACCTCCCCACTGATTTGGTAACTTGAAGCACTGATCTCCATCTCCTCAAGCATGCCTACTAGTGAGGCACATCGATGCTAAAAATTAGGTACACAGATGGAGCAGCAGCTCTGCCCCTCAAAGCACGGTGATGGCCATGTTTCCATGTCCGAGCTTTAACGATAGGAAGTGTAGTGTCTCTAGAGTAAACAGTGGTCACGGTTGATCGTAGCAGTAAGCAGGATCTTCCTCCTAATCAAGTTTTGTAACAATGAGATGTAATGTAAAAGTTTGGGGAAAGCTTGTAAAGTAAAAGTTTGAGATCTGCAGGTTTAGAGAGGAAAGATATCACCTATCTAGTCTCTAAGCATACAGGATACTCTTAACAAGTAAATTGCTGGTCCAGATCAAGGTAAGATACAGATCCTTGTCAGCTATAGCTAAAGCAAAAGAACCAGCAGCAGCTAACTTCCTTCCTTAGCGAAAGCTAACATCTTTATAACTGATCTTGTTCAGACTTCAGCAAAAGAGCGACTGAGTCGTATCTTCAATGTTAATATGCTGTCAGAAGTTACCGAAGAAATCATGTTTTTAAAGAATCAGCTCTTATCTACCAGTTATGCAAGTCATCAGAATGAACTTGCAAACTTTTAATTTTTTCCAGCAGTGCTCCTAGAGAAAAAGAATAGTCTGTATCAGGATGCTGGAGTTTAATGAGCATTTCAACAGTATAGGTAGGTCTCATTTGGGTTTTTTGGATAAGGAAAGAACTTACAAGTGTAAAACAAGTGTTTCTAGTAGAGTTTTGGGGAGAATGGGAGGACGACTAGTCCCAGTTGCAGCCTTGTGTACAAACACCCCATACAGTCAGAAGTGCAAAGTCCTGTTCTATTAGCGTTCTCCTGCAGGAACTGAGAAATACTTAGGCCTGTTGCCACCCAGCAGAGGCATGCAGCATCAGTACGAAGAACTGCGGTGAGATGGGAAAGAACCTCCGGATATAAATCTTTTTGATTCCACCTGATGTTTCAACAATTTTTTGAAGAAAAATTTAAAGAGAACCTTGAAGAGATTCTTCAAGGGAAAATGAATTGATAAGAATTCCACTAGTTGTGGAGCCAGCAGCATCTGTTCGGGACCCAGAGATGTTTTCTCTAACTATTGGGCAATGTAAATGGAAGACACATCTGGAAATCTCTTTTTCATTCTGCTTCAGACACAAAGGTTCTCAGGGGTGACCTGAGGAGACTTGTTTTTCTCTTGTAATCAGAAGAAAAGCACCATGGAAACATTTCTATTAAGATATTCTAACAGAGATTGAAAACACAAAAAGCAGATGAAGCAAGCGTGCAGTTTGAGACTACTGTATCCTAATTTAAGTGAATAGCTTGAAATAAGCTGGCTGAAAGATAAATACCAGGCAAGAAAGAAAAAGAACAATCTCTTTACAAATCAAAGATGGAATACTAAACATGTCTTGGGTAGTATAATACCAGCAACTTACAGTACACTCTGCTATCTACAGTAATACACAATACTTACCCTGTCATGTAGTGTCCAGCCAACATATTTTAAATAACTATCATTCAGGAAGGCATCACTGTACATTTTCATCCAGACACCAATTTCTTCAATACAGACAGCTCTAATCTCAGCAATAGCATCACTAATAAGGAAAAAAGAAAAGAAAAATTATTAACCAGCTTAGAGACACACACCATTTACTTCTCATTCTCACTTCCCTAGCTGTTATATTTTGCTTTTACTTTTGACGAACTTCACTACTGGGGCCTGTCATTGTTCTCACTGCTGTCTCAGTGATCTTCTGTTCCTTTATGTCCCTGAACTCACTGAATTATCCAATAATTTCAATATTTCTACATTTAGATATGATATTTCCATTATCTCAAATTCTCATCCCAGTTTGCGTCTTAGTCTATTACTCCATCTTTTACCTCCATGTTTTCAAATGGACTTATGAATCCAATCTACAAACCTCCTCTAGACAATAATTTCTGAAACACCGTCACTGACATTTGCTTAGCAGCCTTGACTCTTCCAGGTAGAGGTGTAGAACAACTGCAAGGTGGAAAAAGTTACTTGGTTTAACCAAAGGAGCCTGCCAGAGGGGCAGAATGGAATTTAGTACATAAACAGATCTTGTTTCATGCACCGCATGAAAGCCCCTATACAAAACCCAGGAGAATGTTTACATTTCAACACTGGTTTCTTCCAGTTTTCTTGCTTTTTTTTCTACATTCTGACTGTTGCAAGTGATGGAAGAGGCAAAGACATATCTCAGGCAGAATTATCAGCTGCTTATTGAGGAGGGGCAGCAGGAAACTGTCTGGAGAGATCATCTAAAGAGATCAGGGATGGAAATGATTTCAATCTGATTGGCACTTTCCTGCTTGACTGACATAGAGCATGGCATATTTACTAATAATGAACGACGGCTAAACAACAGGAAAAGGGATTGGGGCCATCTGGCCCTTTAGTAATTTCATCTCCGAGACATCTGTTACTATGAGAAATCGCTTGTGCCACTCCAGCTGGCACTGCTTCACAGCTCGAAATTTCAGCTGTAATACAAGAGGAACATAAAGAGCCACTGTACAGAGGAAGGGAATGTCTGGTGCTTTGCAAACACTGGTCTTGCTTATAATTGAGACTCTTGTTCTGTATTTTTATAAAAAAAATTTTTGGCAAAGTAATAAACATCAATTTAATTCTAAAATGGCACCAACAGAGCCCAAAAATGAAATCTAATCTATGAAAAAAAATTTTAACATTTCAGGCTTCAAGCAAGAGAATAATGGCAAAATAAGGGAAACTGCATTTTTCCCAAAGTCTTCAATTTTACAAAATATCAATAAAATGCACTCGATCTTATGTTCCAGGTACTTACTGTACAAGTTCACACACACAAAATAGTGTAACAAAACTGTGATTACTCCACAGTCTGTAACTGCCAATGTACTTCCAACCTTCAAACTGGTCCACCTCAATAGGTGCCATTCTACTGTATATGATCTTCCAGACACCAAGGTGAAAACTACAGTTGCTACATGAACACAACAATCACTTGCAGTATCATACGTGACTAGATGTGACACTTCTACAGTCAAGTCTCTGTTTTTCTCATTCAATTTCAAATTATAAGAAGGAAACTGTACTGATGTAACAGCATAAAACATGCATTTAAAGCTAATGTATGAATGTGAGGGGGAAATTTGTCAGAACTCCATCAAACCACTATCATTGTCTCTATTTGCCTACGTGAAACACACTGATTCTATCGATTTCCAAACGGAATCATTAAAACTGGTCTGTCAAACTCCCTGAAGACTCTACAACCTCAAAAGGTAATTGTCGATCCATGATGTAGACAAGCAGAGTAGGGCATTAAATAAACTGTTCCTACTGGGGATATTAGATACTGTAAGGATGAATGTGCTAAAATATTACATTCAAGTGTTTGCACTAAAAAAACTGCATTTATTATGGGGAATGCAGCCACAATGAAGACAAGTTTTAATTAAAACTATGAACATATTCTCATCTATAGTATGTCTAATCATATATTACTTCACATTAAACTAGATTAGCAATTCTCTTTCATGGAATTATTTTAAAACTATTTTTAAAACAAAATATAGGTAGAAGGAATCAAAATGCAAGACTTAAAGAACAATCTAAAAGACTGGTAAGTATGAATTAAGAAAAAAAAGAGGAGCTACATATGCAGCAACACAAAGTAGCCATGAAGACATTTCCACAAGGGGATGACAGCCTGACTCCTTGCTTCCAAGTAGGTTATTTCACCACCTTATAAATTTACTAACTGTGAAGCATTTTGGAAGGATTTAATGGCAAACTCAAAAAGAACCCAAGTGTCAACAGCTATTTAACCATGCAGCACAGCCAGCCAAAAATCAGGAAAATGTGTCTTTTCTGTAAGAATGCATTCAAGCTTCCCTAGGCAGACAGTGAAAAATTGATTCTTGATTCAAAAGCTTCTCAGGGATCCCTAGGAACTATGCACAAACACCCACTCCAAGCTCCTATTTATATTTAATTTAAAA